CATGCGCAAGGCGCAACCACCCACCCACCCACTCCCGGGACTACATTTCCCAGAAGCCCCTGCGGGGTGTGTGAGGGGGAGGGCGGTGCGAGGCAGGGTTTGCGGGGCGCTGAGGAGCGGGCAGGAGAGGGCGGGCAGCAGCGGGAACAGCAGCAATGGCCTCACTCCTGAAGAAAATAATCAGCACTGCTAAGGCCCCTGCCGCGCTGGGTCCCTACAGGTATGCCTCAGCGCGAGGGAGGTCTCTTGGAAGAAGCAGGAGCGAGCGGGAGCAGGCGCTGCCGGTAGGGTTTCGAGAAGGTGTCTGGCGGGGGGTCTGTCAGGCGGCCCCGCGGGCTGGGGCGAGGGTGGCCCCCCGCCCCCGAGCAGGGACCGATCTCCTCCCCCCAGGCGACCCGGGGGACACCTGGGGCCCTGCAGTAGGAGTGGGTCTGCAGTGCTGGCGGCAAACGTCAGCCTGACGGGGGAAGGAGGGGTCCCGACCTTTTTAGGTGAGGTTTGAAAATGTCTCTCAAAAAGTCAGGTTGGAAAAATGATTCTGAAATGGGTGTCCCTGCTCACTGCAGGGGGGTTGGGCTAGATGACCTCTAGGGGTCCCTTCCAACCCAAAACATTCTATGATTCTATGATTCTATAAGCAGTGAATGAAATTAAAAATAAAATTAAAAAAAAGCAAGAGAAAGAATGATTCCTCTCAAGGAAAAAAAAAATGCTTGCCTCGAAAAAAAACATGTTGCATAGGGAAGTTAGCAGTGAACGTTGATTCTGGAGGCGATGGACAGTGGAGGCTGAGCCCCATCCAGGACGTGCTTTGGCAGCTGGAGGGTTCACTGCCTGGGAACTGCAAATCTTTTCTTATTTTGAACATGACTGCCAGGAAGTTTAAATGATTTTCAGTCTGAAAACTAACTCCTGTAAAAATATATAAGATGTTGTTTGACATTTTCACAAGTTGTTAATTGCAACAGTTCCGAATGTCATTTTAAAAAGAATCCTGGTTTCAATTGGAGAAAGGTTTCTCTTTGCTATTTGGATGTGAAAAAAAAGTTCAACAACTGTCGTAGACTCTTATATCTAAGGTACTGAGGCATTTTTACCAGGGCAATTTCTAAGTATTTTTAATTCTGCTTTCAGGCTTTCTTTTCCCATAAAAACACAGACTCCTTTGGTTTAAACTTTTCCATTTAGAGCATCTTAGTGCCTTCCAGGTGCATTTTTGTCTCCATTACTTTGAAACTGCGCTTTCTGAGCTTCAAACTGGTTTTTATTTAAAGGAATTATGAAGATGGAGAAATACGAAGTGTAGAAGCAGAGGGACATGACATGAAGGTTAACTTCTGTAAACAATAAACTGGATTGCAGCCAGGGGCCTGGCATTGCTTGTAGTTAGGAGGATATCTAAGACATGGGAAGGCAACAGTTCTTCAGCTGAACGCACACACACCCCCCAGCTGGCCTAGCCTTCAACATAGCTCTCCACTTCTGTTGTGGATTAACTGCACTCCAACATTTTGTGCTTATTGGTAGTTCTTGGTGAAATACTGCTTATTATGCAGCCTGTTAATTGTATGACGGGTCTAACATCAACAAGTTTATCGCTAACTTAGTTTATCGGGTTTCGGTAAACTTGCCAAAGTCCACTGAGCAAAAGTTACACAAGAAATAACTGCTACATCTCTGCTGTGGAGTCTGAGCATGGTAACAGAGGAATGAGGGCTTAATATGGAATGAAGAAATGGGATGTATGGGCTGCATTCCTGGTTCTGCTCCAGCCCTTCAGTATGCTTTTCGGTGACCTATTTTTAATGTATCTTTATATTTCCTTTATTGCATCCACTTTCCAGTACCTTGAGATAGGTAGGTAGATATATAAAAAGACTCATACATGTGAGTGTGTATGTGTGTGTATATATACATCTCATTAATGATATGAAACTTTTTAAAAGACACAGCAGAGGTACTGTTCTTGTATTAATCAACAGTCATTTGTATAAAGAAGATCTGATTAACCTTGCAGTGCTTGTCTTTAAAGAGCATGCTGCTTAACACCATCTCTTTGATGGATGATGTTCTTCTAAAGTCATAAAGTCCATGCAGTTATGCACTTAGGTATACTGAAAATGGAATGACTTTAGCACACATTCAGATCTCTGCTGAATCAGAGATTAAAGAGTAGCTACGGTTGCCTCTGGTTACAGGATAAATCTGCAGTTAAAGTGTCATTGGAGTTTATGTAGTTGAAGTTTCTCTGAGCTTCACTCATGCATTTGACTGCAGTAGAAGTATACCCTTTAGAATCATAGAATAGTTTGGGTTGGAAGGGACCTTCAGAGGTCATCTAGCCCAAGCCCCCTGCAATGAGCAGGGACATCTTCCACTAGATCAGGTTGCTTAGAGCCCCATCCAACTTGAGCTTGAGTGTTTCCAGGGATGGGGCATCTACCACCTCTCTGGGCAACCTGTTTTAGTGTTACAACACCCTCACTGTAAAAAAATTTCTTCTGTATATCTGGTCTAAATCTACCTTCTTTTAGTTTAAAATGATTACCCCTTGTTCTATTGCAACAGGCCCTGCTAAAAAGTTTGCCCCCTTTAAGTACTGAAAGGCTGCAATAAGGTCTCCCTGCAGCCTTCTCTTCTCCAGGCTGAATCACCTCAACTCTCTCAGCCTTTCTTCATAGGAGCAGTGTCGCAGCCCTCCTCTGGATCCGCTCCAACAGGTCCATGTCTTCCCTGTACTGCGGGCTCCAGAGCTGGATGGGTCCCACCAGAGCTGAGCAGAGTGGCAGAATCACACCCCTCGACCTGCTGGCCACACTTCTTTTGATGCAGCCCAGAATATGGTGGGCCTTGTGGGCTACAAGTGCACATTGTTTGCTCACGTCCAGTTTTCAACTACCAGTACCCCCAAGTCCCTCTCCGCAGGGCTGCTCACTTCTTGAGCTTGTCTGGGTCCCTCTGGATGGCATCCTGTCCCTCAGGCATGTTAACCACACCACTCAGCTTGGTGTCATCACTATATCCCACTGTCTTTGTCATTGATGAAGATACCAAACAGTACTGGTCTAAATACGGACCCCTGAGGGACACCACTTGTAACTGATCTCCATCTGGACATTGAGCTGTTGACCACTACTCTCTGGATGTGACCATCCAACCAATTCCTCATCCAGCAAACAGTCCACCCATCAAATCCATATATCTGGTAAATTATTAATAGTCTCAGTGAATGGAGGATTCCACTGGTATGCATACGAAGAGAAGAAAGTTGAGGAGCAGAGAAGGGGACCCAATAAGACTGCTGCAGATGTTGATCTGGCAGTGGTATCAGAAAGCTTCAGCTTGTTTTTTCCCCAATTATTCATGATTTACAACTGTTGGAAGGCCTTTGTTGGGATAAATTTTTCATTGTGTCATTTGCTTTATAGTAAGCAGTACAAGACAATCTCCCTTTTTTAGAGTGCTCGTACCTTCTTGTTGCATGGTTCTCTGTGCTTCAAGCAGAAACAGAAGTTTGTGGTCTGAGGGCCTGTGCCTCAAACAAAGCAGGATGTGGTAGGAAAGAAAATAAAATTAAAGAAGCGTGTGTGTTTGGTTCATAGACACATTTTCTAGAAAACTACTTTGTTCACTGGTTTCTCTTCTTTAAATGGTGTAGTTCTGCAATTTGCTCCAGTTTTGTTAGCTGAAGATAGATAAAATAGTCACCATGTAAGATATATTACTATATCAGATAAGTTACTGGCTATTTTTTCCCCTTACGAAATTACAGGAGCATGTAGGACAGGGGTAAAATGGAAAATGGGAGTGATGGCACTGTTCAGATTGCCTAACCGTAATAATTTTACTGAGTCCCTAAATTAGGTTGATCCCTTGTGAAGTCAATGGATTGAGCCAATCCAACTGAGTTAATCTCAATTAAGAAAACAGATGTAATGAAAATGTTCTCTGAAAGAGTGCCTTTATTCCTCCATTGACATTAAAATGAAGCCCACCTCCTAATTTAGATGCTTCAGGGAGGTGCTTAACTCTATAGTTTGTGTAACTTGAGAGGCTCGTTGAGCTGTCAGAAAAACACATCTTCTTATAGAATGGTAAGAGATAAGGAAAAGTGTTGACACACTGCAAACACTTTCAAAATAATCTTTCTCTAATTTCTTTGCGAAATATTTTTAATTACCAGCTGAAGAGAAGTAAATTATGTCTCTTGCTTAATGTTTGCTAGGTAGTTTAAATCTTTCTCTTTTTTAATCTTTTAATCTCTTTGTGGTAATTAGACACATTAATAGTTGCCAACTCTACTTCAGCAAAAGCACACCTGACATTTATATAAAAATGTTTTGCAAATAACTTGAGTTCTGCATTCTTCTGAACTAACCCAGCCAACAGGTCATCCAGGTTATTTTGTGAGAGGAGAGCAATCTGGGAATGGAGCGATCAAGGTGGTGTGCTGATAGGCCAAATTCATGACTCTGGAGGAATAATGCCAGAGAACTAGCATGCAGGGCTTCACCTCACAGCTGTAACTCATTTATCGTGGCGCCCATTTGAGAAGAAAATGGTAAATTTACTAATCAACTCTCTTTAGAATTTTTTCTTTTTAATCTTCATTACTCTGCAGCTGAGATGTAGATGAAAGGTATTGTCTGCCTATCAAACTGGGATAGAATATTTATCTGAGCAGGTGCAAAAAACATTTATTTACTCTGCCTCCCCTCTGTGCTATCTGCAGTGTGGAATCTGTGTAGCTGTGTTTAGTGTTGTGTTGCTGCACTCATGTCTTTTGCCTTTCCAAGAAACAGGGTTTATTACCTCAAAAACAGAGCTATGCTATAGTGTAGCTATATCTTTCCTTAGGTGAGCTAATCATAGAATCATTTAGGTTTGAAAAGACCTTTAAGATCTTCAAGTCCAAACGTTAACCTACCCCTGCCATCCCACCACTAAACTGTGTTCCTAAGCACCTCGTCTGCCTGTCTTTTAAATACCTCCAGGGATGGGGACTCCACCACTTCCCTGGGCAGCCCATTCCAATGCTTAACAACCCTTTCATTGAAAAATTTTTTCTAATGTCCAACCTAAACCTGCCCTGGTGCAACTTGAGGCCAAATCCCAGGTCTCCCAAAGATAAGCAGATTGAACGTGTGACTGCGTGTACAGACTTGAGCATGCATAACCTAAGTCCTCTATCTTTCCAAGATATTATAAACTACTGAAGAAAATGTGAAGTGTGCTTTCGGATAGTTACATATTTCTATGGGGAAACATTAAACCTAAAATGTCACTTATGTTTTCAGCCAAGCAGTGCTCGTAGACCGGACGATGTACATTGCAGGACAGATCGGTATAGAACCTTCCACCGGTCAGCTTGTCTCTGGAGGGGCAAAGGAAGAAGCTAAGCAGGTGAGATGTCTTCTAGCAATAAACTTGTAATAGAGTTGGCGAGTGCTTAGTTTAACATGGACTTATGAGAAATTAAACAACCCTGGAGAGCGCATTTCACATCCTTCAAGATAAGGGAAAAGCAGGAGGAAGTAATTCCATCCTATCCCTGTCATTTTCCACTCAGACAATGTGGAGGTCAGGGGAGGAATCTGTATTTCATGTAGGAAAGAATCATTGTTTGTAACAAAGGTTCAGACCCTAGTAAAAACCCTGGCTTTGAGATGAGGAAAGATTTGTTCCCCCAGCAGCAAAGAGGTTGCGTGAGGTAATAGGTAGGATGAGATGGCGCTATGTCATGCGTTTACATCTAACGAATGGATGGTTTAATATTTGTGGTTTATTAAAAGCTCCCTTTTATTAATTTACTTTTTAATCTGTTTCTGATTTTGCTTACTTACTGATGACAGTTGAAGATTTACTGGGTGAATTTATACTATAACACGGATGTAGCCAGATTACAACTCATATTTACATACTTACGTAAATATAACCCAGCTGATACTTAAAGATTTTTGTCTCATTTTTCATTAGGCTCTAAAAAACATGGGAGAAATCCTGAAAGCTGCAGGCTGTGACTATGGCAATGGTAAGTATTGCAGTGATGGTGGTAAACAAGCGGTTGTTTTTACCTACCTGGATTAAAAAAAAAAAAACCCAAACCACGACCTTTTAAAAAAAAAAAAAAAAAAGCTGTTTGCTAAATGTGCAGTTTTTAACAATACCTGAACGAGACAAACGGAATCATGAGTCTGGGTTAAAAAAGAAAAGAAATAAATCAACGTGTAAGTGTTTATGATGGGTATCAATGGGACGCTACTTCTCACCGTAAGTTCCTGTCCACAGTGCTAATATTTTAATTCTAACTGGTGAAGCTTAGCTATAGGCAGAGCTGCAACTGACTACAGGTGTTTTAAACATCCTAGACTTTGCTCTGGGTAAAAGGAGGTCTATATCTATGGTGTTCATATTCTAGGCCCTTTCAGTGTCTTTTTTTGAGGAGGACTCTCTAGCGGAGCCAAAAAGCCAAAATAGGATTAATGTTGGCTTGGGCAGTCATGGGTAAAAAATTCTAGCATAGACTATATCTTCAGGCTTTTTATGGACTTTTTTTTTGGCAGCAGATATATATGATGTTGGTTTTGCTAACAGTTGGCTTACAACAGCTTTTTTATTCAACCTGCTTATCAGTTCTCTGCCTCTTGGAAGAATTGGGCTTAGAACAGAATTTAAAATAGATATCTTCAGAGCTAGCCAGGAGTGTCTAATTCCTTAAAGTTTTATTATGGTATTCAGATTTTTTAGATGGTTCTCTAGGTGGTAGCCCTAATGGTCAATATCTGTTTGCAAAACTTTTCAAAATGTTTAGAATATTTGAGGTAAATTTATGAAATAAAAGCAAGAAATGCACTAAAGATTTTCAACTTTTATACAAACGACAAAGGTCCAAAATAACTGCAGTTATGTAATTTCTAGTTGTGAAGACTACGGTTTTGATGGCAGACATGAAGGACTTCAATGATATTAATGATATTTACAAACAATGTAAGTAGATCTTTTGTTTCTGTTTTACCAGTATGGCTTGTGGAACAGATTATATTCACACTAAGCAAAGTATTTTAATGACTCAGATGATGTAATTCCAGATTCTTTGAGATTCCAGTAGAAATACAGCATTTAAAAAAAAAAAATAATAATTTGCAATCACCAGATCAAGCACAGCCCAATTTCTTGTGCATTTGTGTCCTACCATCGCACTAACTCACTGTTGTGTGAAGATGAGCTCCTGCTATACCTACAGGTTAATCTGCCATGCCTCCACCTTGATAGATGCTGTGTTGTCCCTAATATAATTCTACTGTAGGCAGCCTTCAAATGCTTAATTTCAGATTTTGTATCTCCATTTCTTTTAAAGTCTATATGTATCTTTGAATGATTTCTGGGTTATTGTTATGGGACAGGGCTCATTTTTTATACAAGGTTGAGTTGCACTGCTCCACTTAAGGAAAAAAAAGAATAATGTTTGGTTGACAAAACTGAATGTGGACTGAAATAGGTGATTCCAGTGAGCTATGTTGCACAGAAGGATTTGGGACAGTATGCACATAAGTTCCTTATTTATACAGCTTTGGGCTTTAATTAAATAGCAACATCTGGTCTTGAACAAAGTCTTTTATTTATAAGCTGTCAACATAGTCTTCTGCAGGTCCAAATGGAATTCGTGTGCATTTAAGCAGGGTAAAAAAAGACCAGCTGGATACTTAGTTACTTGTTGCCTGCTACCTGTAATTTAAGAAAGCGGTTGTTGCTGTTCTTTGATTGTGAATTGTTATCTGGCCTTGTCAGTGCAGGACCCTGAAATTAAAAGTTCTGTCCCTAGTGTTAACTCTCACTAGTAAAACTTCCATTTAATTATGCAAATTCCTTGGAAGTCTTCAAACTCAGGTTGGATGGGGCCCTGAGCAACCTGATCTAGTGAAAGAACATTCTTGCCCATGGCAGGGGGGTGGACTAGATGACCTTCAAACGTGCCTTCCAACTCAAAGTATTCTATGATTCTATACATTCAGCTCTTGTATCTTGATTAATACACTTCTTTTTTTTCTTCTTTTTTTCCCCTGTTCTTTTAATGTCCTTGAGTACCAGGCTTAACTGCAAATGGAGGAATAGGTTAAGGGCCTATTTTAACTCTGCTTTCCTTTGGTATAAGGTTGGCCCCTGTTGACTTTAGACAAATCTGGGATCTTTGCTCATGACTCTCTTGGCAGGGGCCTGTTTCTCCCTCTGTGAAAGAGCCCTCCCCCACTCTTTGGTCTTTGCAATTGGATGATCGCTGTTCTGATTTAATCTTTCTTTTTCAGCCAAGTTGGTGTTAAGGCCATGCAGTGTCAGCAGAATGCAAGTTATCACTGGCTGCTAGGTCACAACTGTAGCTGCCTTCTTGATGATGAATGCTGCTGAGATGTTAGACCAGTCAATGGCAAAAAAAAACCCCAACAAACCAACAAGGGGGAAAATGATAGCTGGCACAGAAGACCTTGTAGCCTTGAACCTGAAACTGTTCCAATGACTGCATTTTATACAAATTACTTTGAACTGTGTTTTATCAAGTGAAGTTAAGTAATTGGTGGATGTTTCTGTTTAAATTACAGTTTTCAAGACAAACTTCCCAGCCAGAGCAGCCTATCAGGTTGCCGCTTTGCCAAAAGTAAGTGTCACTTTTCTGACTAAAAGAAAAAGAGAATTCTCTGAAGTTCCTTTCTTCTGAAGCGTTCTGACAGCTGGAAGCTGGAATAGCTTCAAATGCAATTCTTTTAATGAAGACTCTTAAGTACTTTTTTTTTTCCTAAGTATACCAGTCTTATTCCCACACATAAGAGATTTGAATATGAGAGAGAGGTTTCTTTATGATGGAAGATGGCTACAACACTAGAAATAAGGGGTTATGATACTGAAGAGTAAAGTGAATTTTCAGTATTACTTAGCATTGCTAATTTAGTAATACAACTGCCAGAAGTATAATGTCACTCTGTTCTTATCAGGTTGTGTTATACCTCCACTTGCTTAGTTAAATAAATATATTAAATTCCTAATACATTTCTTCATTGTTTTCTCACAGGGTGCCAGAGTTGAGATTGAAGCTATTGCCATTCAGGGACCACTCCAAGATGCTTCAGCCTGACTATAAATAGAGACTGAATATCCTACGACAGCAGTTTTAGATTTAATACTTCTCCCTTACATCCTATTCCTACAGTTGACTATCAGCAGTTACATACAGTTGAAATCACTAAACTTCCTGTGGAGAGGTGCTTCCTTCTGGATTGTGGCCTTGGATTCTCTAAAACACAAGCTCACAGTGAGCTCTATGCGGGCAAACCCTGAAACCTCCAGGAGTCCTGCTAAAGTCAGCTGAGCTTGATTGCAGGACAGGGCCCTTACTTCGTGATGGTGGCTGGATATTCAGATACTAAGTACTCGTTTGAGTGACCATATGACAGTTATACTATGGGTGATCTGGACACGGAAAACCATAATGATTTGTAATCATAGGTTTTTAGTAGCAATTTTAAATAAGAAAAAATGACAAATGGGAAAACAGTAGAACACTTGAATTGCTTAGCATACGTTTTCACTTTGTTTCTGAACTGTCTTCAACTCTTTCTTTACAGAATAGATTATCGTTGGGACTTACATTTTTTTCATACGAAAGCAATTGCTTAGGAAAGTTAATATTAATTTCAGAAAGAAGAAAATTATGCTTTTCTGAAATAACGTGCTAACTTTATAAATCAGCTGTAAATGAACCTCTACCTGTAACCTTTTTCATAGTCTTTTGCATAGTAATTGAACTTTTACTAGTTTGATTTAAAAAACAAAACAAAACCACCAAAAAAAAATCCTGTTTAATGAAAATAAATTATAATTGCATCTGTAAAACTGTGCTTGTCTATTCTGGTAACAAACTTTTCTTTTCCTGGTTATGCCTTGATACTCCATTACAAAAAAGTCCCTATCTTGTTTACTCAATAATAAGTAATTCAAACCAAAAGAATAGGTTTATTATGTGTCTCCTAATAGTTAAGGATGCAAATAATCCTCCAAACCAGGAAGCTTTCAGCTACCCTGGCATTACAGTTCTTGGCACTTTTCTCTCTGCCATTAAGGACAGAAGCATCTGCTTGATGGGGTGATTAAGCAATATTGAGAAGTCAGACTGGTGATGCTAGGAAGTTATCCCATCCCTCTGCATTTATCTTCTAACCAAGTAGAAATGGATACCATGCTTTTAAGGAACTAGTTTGAAAGTCAGCTACCTCACGGTAGAGTTGATGCCCTGTCTTCCCCACAGCCATATGGCTAAGCACAGTATTGATTTATTCGGGGGGAAATGAGCAGAAATTCTTTTCTGTTGTAGTCTGTCCACCTCAACATCTTTGCTTTGCTCTCTTCTGTGAAAATGGCCACCCCATTATATATGGGATGCTACTGTCACTGTATCTTCACTTTCTTTGTGTATAAAGTAAAAATAGCTATATACAGCAGCTTGGAGAACGTGCCCCTTCCATGGTAGAAAGATGTACCTGCTTTATCAAATGTACTGAGAGGGGAAATCCTGTAGGCTGCTCCTTCCAGAGGCTGCTGTTTGCATGCCAGAGTACCATGACTGAGCGCTTCAGAATCTGTTTCTAGTCCCACCTCGTGTGACCAAACTCGCTCAATTTTGGTAAGCCACAAAACCAGCAGTGTAGGAAGGAGAGGGCATCACACTGGTTTGCTACAGGTCAAGTCATAATACTGTGGGTTCAGCTGTCCAACAACTCAAATCCAAACTTAAGTTCTCCTGTGTGCATGTCATTTGTCTTCTATGTATAATGCCTATTGATGATCATCTCACATACTTTTAATTGGTTAAATGACATTCATATGGTAAGCATGCAAGAAAAATCCAACCTGGCAGCACCATGTTGCTGTCTATGTTTGCATGGCACATGCAGATATCACCTTGCCTGAAAATCCCCCTGCACTCAGTCCCACAGCCAGATTGTGTGAAACATCTTCCATCTCTGGATAAACATTAAGTGTCCCACTTGCGGTTTCTTACTTCCCTGCTCATCAGCCATGCTTTCCAGCTCTCATTACTTCAGTTGTACTATTGCAGTAACTGTATTTTGTATTTTTCATGTGTTCCTGGTATCACTTTAGTGTACACCAGAACGGCAGTTGGAAAGTTGTGAGAAGAGTCAACCCTATTTACCCCTTCTAGATGTGCTGTGAAGTGGCCATTTCTCCTGCTTTTTGCTGGGCTTGTAAATTCTATCTTTATAGAAAAAAGATTAACAATCATGTCACAGCAAGTATGTACAGATGCATGGATTTTTTACAGCATCATCTTGCTGTCCCTTGACACAATGGGAGATACTTATTTGTATTAGAAGCAAGATAATGCTTGTGGTAATTCAAACAGTGAACTTCCAAGACCTTTGAAAAGTACCTGACTTTTCTGCATATAGACTTCCTACACATAAACTTTACTAGTCTTAGCTTCTGCCCTTGTTCTCTCTCCTTGGCTATACTATTAATGTCTTTTATGCTCTACAGCTCTGACTCAAGCAGCAATCCCATCTAAGAAAAAACACGACCAGGCTTGTTAGGAGGGAGCTAGTACTAACATAAATATGACTTTCTAGGAAACATAGAGCCAGTTTGCTTTACTTTCTCACTTACGAATGATTAAAAATAATGAAATGGAATGGAGCTACATTTAAACAGATTCCCAATTTGTGTTTCTCTGTTACAGCTTTGCTCAGACATAATTACTTTGTTGGAATATATTTCACTTATTTGCAGCAGATTTCAATAGTGCTGTACATGAGCAAAGTTCAGCCTTGTATAATCACTACGGTTATCCCCCCTTACCTCTCACATTATTTTCCACTGCCTTACTTGTGCTGTGCTGCCTCTTTCTCAACCTTGAACCTAACACTAGATGGCAGTTCTGATTTTTTTTGTGTGCATGCTGACTTGTCCATTTGCTGATACAAGTCCTTTGAAGAACTCCTTTCGGTGTCTTCACTAGTACAAAGGGATGTGAATATACCATTGCTTTCCACAGTAAGGTACAGTCTGAGACTGAAATTAAGTGGAACACCTGAAAAAAATGCATGCTGGATGCAGCTAACAAGCCACAACACATTACTTCCATTAAAAATGTTTGTATCAGTAAGTAGGTGCCATTCTGCAAAAAGTCAGGAACTAAAATTCACTTTTAGCTCTACGATTCTTTAGCTTTTAGCTGGAGACCAGTTGCATGGTTTCTTGAATGCCTCAGATCTAAATATGTATTCTTCAGGTACCGGAATTCTAGAATAACTGAAATAAACTCCCTTATTTACAGCTGTAACATAGCAGTTCTCAACATAAAGAATCAGCCTTCCATAGAGATGTTTAAAACTTTTATTTTTTAAGCAGAGTTATATTATTTAATTCTATTCCTTAAGACAAAAAGGCTAAGCCTCATAATTCTCCAATATGAAAAGCAAGTGTTGTGGATATCTCTTAGGTCTTAGTTCAGCAAAGTACACAAACATTTAAGAAATCCTGTTTTATCTAGAATTAAACTTAGCTTTTTTTTATTTGCTGCACTGAGCCTCTAGCATGAAAAATGTGAAGTTGCAAGTCAGCTTGTGGCAAACTAATTTCACTGTTTAAAATTTGTTTCAATCACATGTAACTTTAAAAAACCCAACAAAACAGGTCCTCTATCTCTGAAAGCAATGCTTAAATTTGCATATTCTACCAGGTGTCTAAGTAGGCCTTTTTTTCTCCAAAAGATTATATTCTCTACAGGTTAAACAATGCAAAAAAAAAGCTCAGTAGATAATTTCAATAAAACTTTGTTCTCTGTTAAAACAGATAGCCAAGCTTTAACTGCCCTAATCTTCTGCTACAAGCAGTTTTCACCTGAAAGCAGTTCCGCATTGAGTGGAAAAGCCAACCTTACCCAGCCAGAATGCCAAGTATCTTCTGGGATCCTAACACAGTTTGAGTGTCTGCATAGAGCTGACAGGGTGCAAATTCCTCTCCTAGGGCTGTGTTTATTGGTAATTGAAACAAAATTCCTACCAGAACTTTCTTGTTAGCTTGGAAATTGAGTTTATTCCTCCCAGTGTCCTGCCCAGCACTCCATGTGGCATGCCATGATTACCTCTACCCTGGGTGAGGTTAAGGGCTGAAAATTGTCTGGCTTTTATTAAACATTTCTGAAGACTGTTTTGTATTTTGATTATGTTAAAAAAAAAAAAAAAAGCTAAAGTGTATTGCCCTAGCCCTGGAGGTATATCTTGTAAACACAGACATGGGAGCACATAATCTTCTCAGCCTTTAACATGAGAAAGCTTTGTTCCACAGACCAATTTCTGCCCTTGGCAATCTCTGTGATGTCCCAGGTTTGCAGAGGCAAATGACCGCATGTATTTTGGCCCTTGATGCATAGTATATGCTTTGGTAGCTTACAGACCAGGAGTGCTCACCCCAGTGTATTTCTCAAGGTAGGGATGTTCAGCATACATCTAGCAGCCGAGTTCTGATCTTATGGTAATTTAAGTGATTAACATTCATGATTAGCACAGTGTCAAGCATATCTCATCTTTTAGAAAGGAAAAGGAAAAATAGCTTTCATTTGTTGTAATCACAGAATATGTAAGGACTGAAGATGACTGAGAAAGGCTGATACTGTTGAGTCATTGACTGGCTTATACTCCTCTTGTTTCCAGTTAGTACTGCTTAATGACCTGAAAAAGTGGAACGGTGAGGAAAGGACGTATATTGTCACCTGTCTTCCTTGTAACGACAGTGGTAGAAAGAGTGACTCTGAGGTGAGCAGGTTATCTTGACTCCCTTATATATCCATATTTTATTTCCAAGTGCAGTCTCCTCTGTTCTTACTAATACTGCTGATCCCTGTCACAGAACTCCTCTTGGTTTATGCTTTTAAATTGCTCAATGCAGCTGGTCAACCTGCAACCCATGATCTAACATGCAACTTGCAAGTAGTCAGCGTGGCTGCCCTGCTGATTCCATCTCCTGTGTTTGGGAGCAGGACTGTGCTGGCACAGGTGCTGGTAGCTGAACTGAATTCCCAGCTCACAGGAGGAAACCAGCCACCAGAAGGAGCTGGAGGGTGGAAGTTCCTGGGGTATCCTGGATGCTGGCTGTATGCCCAGCCCAGTCCTGTATTGCCCTGGGGAACTCTCATCCCGCTCACTGTCTGTTCCCCCACTCCTCAGCTCTCCCAAGTGCATGCTATGTCTCTCATGGCTTTTTGTCATGGAATGATTTGGACATGTGAACAAAAAGTTTAACTATTTCTGTTTGAATTTTTAATTCCCACTTTAATGTCAACAGATTTTTAACAGAACTAGCTGCTCATTTTAACTGCTCTATTATAGAAGGCCAGTCAAAATAAAAAATAAAACTCTGCAACATCCACCTGCCAAAAAATTCTTGACAAACCCCAAAGTATCCATTTTGGTTCTAAAAGTTTATGGTATTGCCTACAGAAAGTTGACATTAAGTGAAGCTGAGAAATTCGTAAGACTGCTGATAAGCAGAAGACCTTAGATTTAGTGATATAGCCAAGGAATATCAGTTTTGACAAAAGGCTGATAGGCCAGGAATATCAATTAGATTATTTAATACAAACCAAAGTCAGCTGCAGTCAGATGTGCACATGCAGCACAAGATTTAGGTCTTAGAAGGGATTTGTGTAATTTGCTAGTGACAGCAAATTTTTTGTGAAGTACTTTTGTACAATAAACCTAATAAAATAGCAACATGTGCTTGCCCTTTTTAGATAACTGACCTTTTCTCCATATTCTA